TTCTTCAGTGCTGAACTATCAGTTATTAGAATAAGTCATTCTGTGTATTTAATTGATGATGAGAGTGGTGGGGTTTTTTTTCAGCACAGAAATTCAGCTGAGCGCAGCTCTGTTACACAAGTCAACCACCATTTCACATTATTTTCCTTATCGCTCAAATTTCCTCTTCATAAAAGGACGTTTTTAAGAAATAAACTGATCTACTTTCAGCAGGCCCTTTATGAAAACATCATTTTTAATAAGAAAAGTTAAATAAGGTATTATACAGAATTCTATTCAAGAGCATTTTGCACTAGCCAACAAGATGCTGGAACTTGCTGTGTTGTGTTGCCCTCTTCAGGCCAACAGCACTTACATTTTCCATGCTTTTGCTCTTTCACAAGATACTACATTTCAACTTCTGTCAAACATTTTCAGATTTGCAGTTTCAAGTAGCAGCTAACTTTACCTCTATCCCACCAGTGCTCGAAGTATTTTTGATGTAAAATCCTATAGAAATAAACTTCACTTTTCGCCTCTACATCTTTAACTTTTATACTAATCTTGAGGATTATCAAAATATCAGCTAGTGTTTGAAAAGATGACTAAAAAAACAACTTCAGCACTGGTAAGCAAGCCTCATGACAAAAGGCTTAAAGAGCTCAGTTGATTCAGCTTACCAAAGAAAACTGAAGCTGCAGAAATCACTCCGTAAATGAACTTGGAGGTCAGAAAGTCAAATGACTAAAGTAGAGTAAGGCAAAACAAAATCTAGAAACTGGAGTTGAAGTCAGACAAATTCAGCCTTGAAATGCAATGGAGACTTTTCATCCAAAACAAAAAAGATTTTAATAACCTACTGCGTAAAAGGTTGGATTCGTTATTACTTGAAAACTCTACAGGTGGACCCAGTATCTTTCCAAACAATCTGTTTTGATCAGGTTTTGAGTAGTTCTCATAACATGGGCCAAATTCTGATGCTGATTTGCACACTTGTAAGGAGCTTTGCAATTCATTATCTGAGCTCTGCCAATTAATCTGGAAATAGAAATAAAAGTCTTCCATTCCTTGGGAAAGAGCCATGCTTGGGCTTCTGATTCATTTATTAAGCCAGATATTAATTATGTCTTAGAATATTTCATCTTCTCCTCCCACCTCGTTATTTTTAGAGGACAGCTCATGGTAAACATTTAAATCTATTCAGACATCTCCGTACTGCAACAGAGAGAGCAAAGTGTTGGATTTAACTGACATATTAAGTGTGGAGAATTTCACTCACATTACTAAGGTAGATAAACATTGTAACAGTTTGTGACTGTACAATTTAATCACAACATCTTAAAGGACTTACGATAGGAAAAACCTCTTCAAAGCTAAGGCCTAGTGTGTAATTAGGAAATAAAATTAATAACTCAATCAAAGCCCTTAGAAAATAGAGTCAAAGCAAATGCTCATTCCATGGCATGGCCCAGTGCCCAAATCAAGGAACAAGCAAATCAACAATGCCCTTTTGGGCTGGCAAACATACAACAGCCAGCCTGCCTTAAGCCAAGCGTGACTCTAGAAAAGCTCAGAACTGCCTGTCATGAATAGTTTTAATGCATTTTCTTTCACATACTTTTGTAATGTTATTCAAGAATGGAATGCTATTTACAACTTTAAATCCTATATACTCATAGGGCAGACTCCAGAGGAAGGGAGGAAGATTGACAGGGGAAGAATAAGCAAGATAGGGGGAGAGAGCAAGATACCACAACTCAGGGATGAGTTTTGTGCACAAAACTAAGTGCACAACAACTGAGACTCAGAGTGCTCCCATCTGCAGTGTAAGACAGCAGACTAGTTCACCAGGGTAGTCTACCAGCACGTAGAGACTCCTCTCCAGTACCTGACTAATATGCCCTGTCACAGCGCCTGGAGCCAAACACTGATGAAAACTTCCTGCCATCTATCAGCCATATGGTTTGTCAATTAGAAAGCGCAAAATCAGCCGGTCTTATAAACACAGGGGAAAAGGTCCTCAAGCCAAACTAGCTTTAGTACTGTACAAGAAAAACAACTCTTAAATGCATAACATCCTCAAAACATTACTATTGTTTTCTCTCTTGCTATTAAAGAACAAGTGAAAAAAAGCACTCTATTCAATAGTACTATTGGACAGAGAGGCAAAAAGGGTTTTGTGCAACTGTCAACTGAAGACATAGCAGCTCATATCTCTGAAGTGATGAAGTGGGGTGGTTTTTTTTTTTTGACGTGTGTTAAGTAAAAGTGTCACAAAAATATAATCACTATTTTTAAACTGTCTCTGGTAGAAAAAGTTTCCACCTATGTCAAAGGTTCATCTGGTGCAAGTTCCATATGACACAGTTTAGACTATGACAGCTGGTAATAAAGTCTCCAAGATCTCTTAGCTAACTTTTAAAATTGCATATGAGCTGATCCTTAGAAATACTCAGTCTTTTTCTTCATCTTCTACAGTAGAAGCTAGGATTCTGGTCCAATCTTAGCTGCTACACTTAGAAGAAGAGGTGCTGGACAAGGGCTCTTAAAATTACCTGTGGTTAGTTTAGTTCTGACTTAACCAAGTATGACGTTCATATTTTTGCCATCTCTTTCTCCCCCACACACCATCAGATTTGGATACCACACGAGGTATGATTCATATTATTCTTTAGAAATGTATTTTAATAGACAAGCTTTACAATTGAAAGAGCCTTTGAGTTTTGAAAATATCTGGCCTTCAGTGAAAAGCATGGCAGATCGCTTCATTGCATGCAAGTTTTTTGCCACAACTTTTCCCAGTCATGTTTAATCATTGCCAAGACTGATTTTTCTTAGTTGATAGCATTATCTAGTACATTTCTTTGAAGGAAAACAAATTCATCTGCCTCATACTGCAAAACAAAATATAGGCAGTTGTCTTCATCACAGAATTTCCTTCTAATAATTTTGGGGTGATAGAAGGTGTGGAGACTAAGAGGAAGAACTCTCCCCACTGAAGGCAATGCCTAGGAGTTTCCTGGCATCCACCTGTATATCCTTAAGTATCTCCAAAAACACTATGTGAAAACACATGGAGAATAAACATCCACTCTCATACAAACCTAGGCTAAATTGGCTTTCAGGTATTTATAGAATCATAGAATCCTTTAGATTGGAAAAGACCTTTAAGAACATCAAGTCCAACCATAAACTTAACACTGCCAAGTCCACCACTAAATCATGCTCCTAAGTGCCACATCTACACATAGGGATATGAAAACAACCAGTTAGAATGCAAAGCTGACTTCTACCAGCACTAAGGGAAATTAAATGCAATCAAGGTGGGGGTTAAATACATCTTAAGAAAACTTTTGAAACAGTTACTTCAGCATATGCAAGTCTGTCACTGAGTACTGTAAATTTATGTTAAAACTACAGGAAATAACTCCTTGTTTGGAATCAAATTATAATCTCAGCCTTTCTAACTCTTTCTGAAAATTCCTTTGAATACACAGTTTTATGATGAGCAGTAATCAGTGCACAAACCAACAAATCAAACACAAAAGCTAGAAACACCTGCATCCACTTTTTTAAAAAGAGGAACATTACTGAAAATATTTAGAAATATTAAGAGCAGCATTACTGAAAATAATATGCACCAACCTTCTCAAAGACTGTCTCAGCAGCATATATATTTGTGTTTGGTCTTCTATTCTTAGGTATTTTGGGTTTAAACTACAGTAAGTAAGGATTTCCAATTGAAAACATAATGAGAATCAAGATAAATACTACTGGCTAAAGGAACAGGTATTACTGAATTAGATTTTTTTCTTTCTTTTTTTAAAAAAGCTTTACTAGCCTGAAATCATGTGATACCATAGAAAATTTCCCTCATGGCTTAAAGGGCCGTACCTTATTCAGACAGCAAAACCTCCATTTCGCAAGCCCATTTACATGATTTCTATGAAAAGACTTTAAAAAAAACCAACCCAACTATCAGAGAATAAACAAACGACTTAGTTACCGACCAAACAAAATGCTGTGAGTGAACTACTTTTCCCAATACATACTTTTTGATACTTATACAAACTTTGCCATCTGCTATGATCTCTGACAAAATAACTGACTTCCGTTCTCAATTGAAGGTTTCACTATGACGGTAAATGTCTTATATCTAACATTAAAGTTACTTCAGTCCCATTGCAAGATTTATAAGTTTGTATAGTCATTAAAACCTGTTATAAAGTAGTATCGGACTATTCAGTATTATGAATAAAAGACTTCTTTTGAATAGTTACAGGTGCAAAACTTAAATGTAAATAGATGAAAATGTTTCAAAGACGAAAACGGAGCAGATCTGTTCAATTTAGAGAGGTTACATGAATTCTCTGTAAGTTTTTAACCATACTTAATTCCAAACTTCATCGTGACCGAAATGCTATAAAAACTATGGGGACATTGAAAAATTGTAAGGATTCCAAGGAATGTGTCGCCAAATAAACTGCTGAAAAAAACAGAGCACTGGTATATTAAATCAGAAAAAATAATCAAAGCTGATTTTGGATTGTAAAACCTACAGTTAGAAGACAAAGGTAAGAACTAGATGGAAGACCTACGCCATTACTTTCACCTCATAATGCCAAGAAGAAACCTACACAGTGGTTGAGGGAAAAGTGTTGCTCCTGAAATGTTGGACTTAGACCCTGCAGAGAGCATTTGCATCCAAAGCAATCTTCATAGCAGTTACTTTTAATGATAGAATTAGCTTTTTTAAAAAAACAAACATCATGTATACCAGCCTTAAAACATTCTCAAGTATTACACACTTAGAACATAACGAGTGGTACTTATCTAGTAGAATAAATACAGTCTATTTTGTCTTTGCTGAACCCTTGAGTTCTATGAATTAGCAAAGATGAGCATACAAAGTTTTACCATATTGTTAGAAAAGGAAACGTATCATTCTGAAAACAGATTATGATATATGACACCTCAATGGAAGAGTCTAGTAAAAGTGGTTTTATTTCATTGTCTCCTACCTGATAAATTCTAAATGGGATGTATCGAAATCCACTATCTTCTGTAGGATACTCCATGAGTTTTCGATTTATTGCCCAAAACTGCTCAAATTTATCTGTGAATGTAAAATTAGATTTTGTTAATAACACATATTCTTTTTCAGGTAAGAGGTAAATGAGTCACCATTGGAACAACATGTGAAACAACATGCAAACTTGTCTTACAGAAGTTTGACCTTTATAAATTTATTTTCCCCACATTTCTCTTCCTTGTTTAGCCTGAAGCCAAGTAGGTCACCTGTGTTCTCCTATGAAAACAGTGGTGTGGCACCTTATCAAACTGAAAGAGAAAGCAACTTGAATTCATATCGTATCTCCCACTGTTAGGGAAATACAGGGCCACAAGTTACGGATTTCATTACCTCAGTTAACAGTGCTTGTTGTTCCACTCTGCTGCTACTGGTCCAGACTCACAGTTTGTTAAAAACATCTAATTGTTCTTAACTATAGGTGAACAACAGGTGTAAAGGACAGAGAAACAAAAGCAGTAGAAAACCTTCTTGAGGGGTTTACATTTGGTTATGTAAATCTTAAAATAATCTGCAACAATGTATGATATAATCAGAAAACACACTGCCAATTTCATGACACAACCTGAACATAAAAGTTTGTGTTTGAAACATTTTTGTTAATATTATCCAAGTAACTAGGCTTAGTAGTCTGAGGCAGCATATCATTTCATCCTGTTCAGATGTTACAAAAACTGAACAGGTTATTGCGCTTAAAATGTATTAAGGACAGCACAGATCTAGAGCAAGAAAGGCTTTCATACATGTGAATCTTATACAAATCAAGGAAACATCCAATACCAAAAGTGACAGAAAAGCACACGAAGAGCTAAGATAAATAAAGCTGCTGCTAGCCTTACTAGCGAAGGCAGCTTTAGAAGTGGAAAAGCAAGGGATATGTTTCCTTATAGGCCCTAACTCTCCAAGACACCAAACACAGCGGACATTTCTTCAGAAGGAACACAGAGTCTCCAGTTTTCCCTCCTTGACACAATGTTCAGCCGAGTCTCAAGCAGTCTGGAGGTACAACAGTTACAGAATTCAGCCCCCCTGAAGCAAGCTAAAATTCAGAAATCTATTTGCCAAACAAAGGTTCTTCCTGCTTTCAAAACTGCTGGTAACAATTAAAGCAATTGCCGTAAATTAAAAGAGCCTGAGATTTGCTTCACTCTGTCAGACAGCACTGATGCCTGTCAGTGCACTAAACGACATTGTTAATTCATATTGCAGGGTTTGTAACACGTGGCTTTTCCTGACTGATTGTGACACAAGGCAAGAATTTCCAAGAAACTGTAAACAAACTCTTGCCAGGTATTCCGTAGGAGCATTTCCTGATACTTATCTCAGAAAGTACTTCCACACCCTTGTTTCCTGATGAGCAACGAGCGCCTCTTGACTAGCACTTGCCTGAGCTGCAGTCAGCACCACCACGCAGGCACCTGCCCGAGATGAGGAGCTGCCTGGACGCAGAGTGCTACCCCATAACCCACGGCAGGGTGCTACCCCATAACCCACGGCTCACCGGCTGGGAAGCTCAGCAGGTGGCAGTGCCAGCCCTGGAGCTGAGTGTACCCAAGCAAGGCTGCATTTGGGAACCCCAGCCTACAGTCAGAGGTTTCTGACAAAAAAAAAAAAAAGACTGCATCCTCCTCATGAATGCTGTCAGCAGAAAGGTGAAGACTGAGCATGCTTCCCTCATCTTTGGACACAGCGTTGAGAACATCTTACAGGTTTCACTACAGATTGTGTGGACAGGCATCCTACAGTAGGCATTGGTCAATTTATACTTCAATTACCACATCTGACTATAAACTCAGTTGGTAAAACTTAATTATGGTGATACAAAAAACAATCAAGGCTTACTTAAGCTAGTGAGCTTCAGCAGACTCTTAAATAAGGAATCTACATATTTGGAGACATCCTACCTGAACCAAAATAAAACAAACATTAACTTCATTTACTTATTTAATGCTCATATTACAGGAACTAGGAAAGTTGGGTAAACAGCTTACTGTATTCAAAAGTCAATAGAGATGAGCAACACATCTTATGGATCAAAAGAACAAGAAATTCTGAACAAGTAACAGACTTACGGTAGGAGCTTAAGTATATTGTCTCCTGTGGCATATATAGCAAACAAGTGAATCTCTGAAGGACCAAAAAAAAACCCACGTTCAACAGCAGTAAGGTGCAGTTAACTCAATTCTGTTCATCATTCCAGCTTCCTCACCTCCCAGAAATCATGCGGGTAAGCTTATTTAAGGCAGGTAAATTTACAAATTTATACTTCTCAGATTATTCTCTGAACACTCAGACAACGCTCAAGAAAATCTATTGTTTTATCAAAAGGTTTCAATTTCTAATAGTTTCTCTAGTTTCTAAATATAACAGCAAGAAATCTGCAACAGTTGAATGATGAGCTTGTTGCGTTTTGTAATCAAGTATGTTCCATCAATCCACCCGATATCCCAGGGAATAAACAACTTTCCAGTAAATAAGCTAGACATAACTGAGTCAGACATCCTAAGACACATTTCCACGGTGTGTACAGCACTGTCCAAAGACATCCAAGCTAATTCATTCTCATAACCTTATATTGCTGTCCTCCAAACATCTTTCCATGGATACAATATTTTTACTACAGGAAACTGAGCTGGGTGTAAGAAAATTAACACAAATTTTTAAAGCGAGTGGCAGGAAAAGACTATCCAGTTTGCATACTGATATATACTCTCTGGCAAGAGCTTTTATTAGCATCAGAAGCATTGGCTGAATGCCAGAAACCTAAAGCTCCAATATATAAAATCCAAAAATAACTGCTTTTGCAGAACCCTTAAGACTCAAAGCTTAAAACAAACAAACCCCCCAACACTACTTATCACACCCTCCGCAAACCCCTTGAAAATACAAGCGAAAGGATTCATCATTCTCCCATTTTTGTGTGTCACTACCTCCTATTTATGCAAAACAGACTTAAGAAAGCTATTAATGCTACGATGAGCTATAAGAACTAATTAGTGCTTTGGCTAGACAGGACTTAAAGACAGAAGGTGCTGGCCGGAAGTTTGACAATCAAAACAAAACTGAGTTTTCATCAAGACAGTAAACAAGGGCGAGTTCTCTACCTATCAGTAAAAGCACTTCACACACTCATCTCCCTCCCTCGTGAAAAGCTGATGCAGTCTACATGGTATCTAAATTCCCGTAACAGTCAAATCTGATTACTTTTGTTTTCCACAATCCATCTGTTTTTAAGAAAGTGCTTGACCGATGTGTTAAAGTTTCTGTATTAGCAAAAAACAGTACTTGCAAAAGGCAGATGTTCATATCTGAATAACAATATTTAAATTAATGGCAATAAGATTCAAACAGAAGTGAGATTAGTGACAGTATAAAAATTTCAGATGACTACTAATCATATTTCTTAAACGAGAGAGAATAGTTGCTACATAAAACTTTGCTTAAAGTGAAATATAAAAACTTTTCTCTCTGTATTTTATGTCAAAGATCAGAAAGTTAATAGCCAAATAATGGAGGAGAGATCCAGTTGAAAAAAAAAATCTATCAGCTAAGTCACTTATATTTATAAATATTAATTTATTAGAAATGCAGTCACTGCACGTACAAACACCAGGCAGACGTTAGCCTTCCATCCTACAGAGATACACAGAATATAAGGAGAGTTTTGAAAGTATCTGTTTTTATATATATATAAAAAAATAGTAAGAGTTGGCAAAACTACAACGAGTTAATGCCATCCATAACAATAATCTCAGTATACAAATTCATTAAGCCACAAGTTAAACCTTAAACATAAATTTACAAATACAGTGTGTCACATTATGCATTTAGGGTTCAGCAATTTATCACTGAATCGTGCTTTTAAAGCACCCTTTAAAACAGTTTAAAAAAAAAAAGACTGTTACAGGGAAAGACTTTGAGAATTGCCGTTTCCTCCATTAAGCAAGACTTGAGAGCCTGTAGCAGTCATCGAGATTAATCCAGATTTATAACTGTTACATTAAAAAGTTGTTAGCAACTCCAGTCATAGTTTGTTGTTAACAGATAGTAACTGCTGAACCTTTTCCTATTAAGTAGCATCAACTCCAGGCTGAAATTTTGAAGGCTGGGTCTCTTTCTCAGGCTGAGACCTGGGGGCAACATTCTTCAGACAGTTTTATTCGTGCTAGCATCTTACAGTCATTCTCTGAAACTCAACTGCTGTCATGCTTCAAACAACTTGCAATTTCACATGGATCTTGATGTTAGATGTGTCTCTTTCACCTGACTCTTTACTAAACTGGTAACCAGGATGGATCACTAAGAGGGTAAAGGGCACTGCTCGCATGCTTGCAACCAACAGATGCATTTCAACGCAGTGTAGCTTTAAATCAGCATACACAAATAATATGGACAATTATCACAGAATAAGAAATATCTACAAGTAACTTGCAATAAGACACAGTGGTCACAGCATTATGGCCAGTTAAAATGGAGTTCCCACTATAGAACAGTGGGCAAAAGAACTAAAACCACCTTAATCTTTAGACTTATCAACAGAAATATCTTAATAATAAGGAATTATTTTGTTTCTGTATTTGACACTGATGCAACTGCTATCAGAATACTGACTTCAGAAGTGGATATATCTCAAGAAGGCTGTGGAAAGGGTTTAAATAACAGAAAAGAATTAATGCAGAAATGAGGGAAAGATTGTTTAAATTCAAGAAGGAAATGGTAATTCACAGCTTTTATCTTCCAGTATCTTTAGAAAGTCAAAAAAGTGAACAAACAGCTGTAACACTCAGGGTAGCATACATACAAGTTTTTGTCAGGACTATTCATTGTTTCTTCTTAAAGCCATTTAGTGGTACAAATTTAAAAAATGCTTGGAATTGAATTGTATCTCTAGTTCTATGCAATTTGCCACTTGCATAAAAATAAGTCCAATCCTTCAGTTTAAAACACAAAACATTTTTTGTCTATTCAGTGGTTCACCGTTGTCTAATAAGCATATGAACCATAGAAATGACGCACAGCTGGAAGTA